ATGTACTTAAAACGCCGCTCGGTAAATTTTTGTTAATAAATAAGTACAAACATTTTTATTCTAAAATTAAACAAAATTTTATATCTTTATATCACCTTACTTGACCGCATGGTTACATGCGGTCAAGTAAGGTTACACCTTACATGACCGCATGGTTACATGCGGTTAAGTAAGGTTACAACTTACATGACCGCAAATAAATTTTTGTTTTAAAAAGACCCAAAGCTATTTTTTTTCAGCGCTATAAGTTAGTGCAAAAAAAATAGAGTGCTTTGTTACACAAATATATGTCGGTAAAAAAGTGTAAAAGTCAGATTAACCTTACGAGTAATATGACCAAGCCAAGGCTATAAAGTTATGAGTTACAAAAACATAATATAATCAATGAAAAAAAAAAAAAGTTAAGAAGTGACGCAGTACATTTTTACATCCAAGAGATATAAACAAACAATTGATGTTAAATGCTGTTTTAATAATTTCTGATAAATAGAAATGAAAAATATATAAAAAAGAATAGCAAAACTTTGTAAAGAGAAGCACCAATTTTTGAATGATCAGAAATTTCTTATCTTATCTTTAAATCATTAAAAGCAACTTTGTCATCAGGTTCTAACAAGTGAAAAAGATATTTTTTAACTTTCTCTTTCAGCGTTAACTATTTGTTTTTTGAAACAAACCGATCAACCTATTCTTTTTCCTTTTTTTTTTTAAATTAACGATGTTGTTGTAAAATTAATGACTTTAACATTATTGTTTTTACAATAATGTTAAAGTCATTACATTATTAATCAAATCATTGATCCTAAAGTTGTTCAAGTATTACTTTCTTTTGTGACCATATCATTAGAAAACCAATGATAGTGTCATCAATTCTCTAATAATAAGCAAACTGGTTTAAGTACATTAGGCAGTTTTACAAATAAGTCGGAACTGACAACCTTACATGACTTAAAACTAGTTTTCGAAACTAGTCTGCAGACTAATTTGCTTAACTGCAATCTATACATATTGCACTAAATAGACGAAACAACTGACGGCAGTGCAAACATAAATAATCAGTGATTGAAACGTAGTCCCAAACGCTAAAAATATGCATTTGTTGACTATTATATATGCTATAATAGTCAACAAATGTTGGCCATTATATATACTATATGTAAATGCACATTTCGTTGATTCGGTTTTAATTGTGATGTACTTTCATTTTTGTTATAATATATAATAAAACCCTTTAAAACCCTTGTGCATTTCTCTAATTTTACGCTTATGCAGATTTTTATTTGGAAAAGTTTTTACAACTAACTCTTGGCTACGCAAGTTTAAAATATGTTCATTTGTATATATCGTCAGTATACAATGGAAATGCACTGTCCAAAAACATCATTTTGAGATAATGAATAAAAAAGTTTTTGTGTAATAGTTGAAATAAAAAATAATTAATAATTCATTAATAATTTATTTATTAAACTTGTGTGGTATATCAAACGATAGAGAATTTAAAATACTAAATAGTGGTATAAATAACTCCATACTACCAAAAACGGAGTGCTTTTCTCTTGTATACCGACGGTATTTAAGTTTGCTTTTTCACCTGTTGATATGTCTTTTTTTACAAATTAAAACGTTCACATTTATAAATTTATCTTTATGTAATTTAAAACAAAACTATTTAAACAAAATTATTTAAAAATCGTTTAACTATTGTTATAAATCTTAAATTAAATGCGAATAAAGACAATTAAAAATAAGATTAATTGTTTATAATTATTCTTTAATGCGTAACCTTTGCGATTTATTTTTTTATTGTCGTTTTTTTTTGTAATTGATTATTTTCAGGTCTATTTTAGTATTAAAAGGTATTTAGTATTAAAAAGCTTTTATTTTTATTTTGTTTTATCAAAGACATAATAGTTTTTCAAAATGTTTGAGTGGTGGAAAGAAAAGCACAAAAAATTCTGCAAAGTAACTGCATAATTTTTCATAATCAGAAGGAGTTTAATTGAAATAAATTTGCTATAAATTTATAAATTTGCTATAACGTAATCATTTAGTGACGTAATTGTAACTAATTAGTAACGTAATAGTTATCTATTTTGTTAACCAATAATTTTTCACTTAGTAAAAATCAATAGAAATACTTTGTAATAAAAATTGTATAAAAAATGGTATAGACTAAAAACCACATAAAGCTAAATTTCAACGAAACTCTGTTTCGGTATTAGTTGCGGCCGCAATTTCAATTTGAACAGGTACCGAAATTTCTGGTTTAGTACGTGTTATAAATTCAGTAAATTTTCGGTCAAATAAATTTTCGGTTGAAAAACATATCAAAAACCGAAAATTTTGTTGGTTTTAACTTTTTATTTAATTTTAAGAAATAGTTATTTTTGATAACTTCCACATTTTAACCTCGTAGTTCACAAATTATTAACCTTTTTAGTTAGTAAATGGCGCGTATCCATCTGCTTCACATATATATTAAAATTGCATAACTCTGATAACGTTTACCTTAAAGAAAACAAATTTGGTTAAAATTGCTTAAATAGACATTAAACAAGGATAATTTTTCGTGGATTTAAGCTTTTTGTTACTTTTATAAATTTTTCTATGAGTTATTTTATATTTCTTATTATTTATTTATGACTAAAAATTTATTATTATTTTTATATAAAATGGAAAGAAGTCAAATAAATAAACAATAAATGTAAAAACATCAAATCTAAATAAAAAACAAATATAAAATTTAACTTTAAGATAACATTTACAAATGACATTAATTTTGTGTATCCTTTAAGTTTTGGTTTTAATTTCAGTAAAATGTTTACCGAAATATTGGTTGCGGTTTATTTCGGTTTCGCCATATTTCCTGCTTCGGTCGATCACGAACTCCATACCTATTACTTGAAATAAAAAATGAATATACAAAAATATTGAATGTATAGGAAAAAAAATTCAGAACCAGTAATTGGGTAAGCTAAGTACGAAGTAGACAACTTGTTAACGTAGATACTTTCAAAATTTATTTTGGATGTCATCAAAATATATTTTTAATGCTGTTATCAGATATTATGAATGCTTTTGAATGGTATTTGGGATGTTGTCAAAAATTATTTGGGATGTCATCAAGCGTTTTATTTGGATGAAGTTAAAGCTTAAGAAAAATAACTCATTTATATTTGTTAAGAGCCTATATAATATAAAACTAAAATATCTTATTAATTGGGAATACATACTTTGATGACTTACTAAAATACTCCTTAAACAATGATTACTCACTATTATTTCATTACCTATGTTGTTTTAAGATTAATACAAAAGTATATTAGGGTTGCTTAATGTCGGTAATTGATTTAATGTTAAAACGTAGTATGATTGCTCTATGTCGGTTGAATAATGTAAAAATGTGGTAAGGCTGCTTTATGTCAGTTATTTGTTTAGCGATTGCAAAAAAAAAAAAAAAAAAAGTGCATATGAATAATATTAGTTTTTATTCATTTATTATAAAATATCGCTTAATCATCATCACTATTCTGATCCAGTTTAGATCAAAAGTTTTCTTTTTTGTCCATGCCATTAATGAAACTTCATAATCTTCAGAAACTACTTTATTTTTTGTTTGCGGTTACATTAAATTGAATCAACGTTACCTAATGACATTCTTTTTTTATGTTTTGATTGTTTCGATGTTATATTACTTTAAAAATAATACACTTCAAAACTTATAACTTAAATAACTTAAAACGAACGACATTGTCATAAAAAAAAAACGTAAATAATAATATATTTCAGCCACTCGACAGTTAACAATTTGACCATCAAATTAGCGGAAAACAATTAAGGCGCGATGGATAAATATTATCTCATTGTTGTTTATAACTTAGACTTCGTTTACCAAACCACGCATCTTTGATGTATTTTACATCAACTTGTACTGATATAATCACTTAGTTTCGGAAAGATTGGTAAATCGCGCCACACTTCAATGACGATTTGCTAATAATGTGCAAATTGTGTATCTTAAATTTCTAAAATCTTGTTTTTTATTGTACTGTGGGAGGGTTGCTTTCTGCATAACACCACTCAATTATTAAACGTTGAGATAACTGAGAATCTAAAATCTAAAGTCTTCTCTAAAAGGTTAAGCAGGTTTTTGATAATACAGAAACTGAGGAAAGCTGAAAAAATAAACATCAAATAAAAAAAAAAAACATTTTGTTTCTAGTTATTTAATATTTTTAGTGACGGCGCCAAATTTCACAAGCAATTTGAGTATCGCCCTATTTTAAACGCAATACTAATTAGGCAATTTGTTTGATCCGATATGAAGTAATGATATATTTTGTCTTTAATTTTGTTCAGAAAATGTTTACTGTTGTTTTTTATGAAATCAAATAAACAAAAATTATACAAGATAATAAACGAAGAAAATAAAGTATTAATGACTTTTCGCACAATTGTCAAGAAAATTGACGCCTTAGGTCAAATATTGATATTAAATAATCTTTAAATGTAGATGAGCAGTCTCATTTTTTAATCAGTTTTCAAAAACTAAAAATGAAGGGAAAAAATCGTTTAAAATTAAAATTTAAAGTAGTTTTGACCGCATTTAGATAGGATGGTTTAAAAACTTTATTTATATCCTATACAGTACTCGCAGTTAAAAATTTTCCAAAAAATTAAGAATTTTAATAGTTCTTGCTTTTGGTAGTGCTTAGATAAATTGTGTAATCTTTAGATTGCGTAACTTTTCACTCGCGTCTGGTTTCACAAACTGGTAACTTTTATAGAGAAATATGAAAACTAATTTAACCTATATTCTAAGTTTAACGAGTTAAAGCTTGTGTTGTAAAAAATTTTCAGTCAGTAAAAAACTTTAATCAAGTTTAATTTAAATCGTAGCGCCACTTATGTAAACATTTTTTTTTAGTTTGTTTACTCACCTGGTTTTTATAAAGGAATTTTACGCTTTTGCACTTAAGCTTTTGAGTTATCTAGTTGTTCTAAATTTTAAAAACTTCCGAAGTCCGACGAAAATGCGTTAGATTATTTTAATGTTTACGTGAAATAGTAGAATAAAAATTGCTGAAAATATACTTTTGTTTAACAGCAATACTTGGGTTTAATTATCGATGCTATATGATAATTATATAAAAAGTTGATTTAAACCTTTAGTCACAAAATGTCAGTAAGTGCTAGCAACAATAATCCAGAGACAACTGTAATGAACAGGCAATCTTACAAAGTGGAGAAGATTATAGGCGTTCATATGGGAGAGGTAAGTAAATTTTATTAATATAATAAAATTAATTTTGTGTCTAATAAGAACATATATTGCTTACTGTAATACGAACAAATATTTTTAGGACAATGAAACGTTTTATAAAGTTCAGTGGGCTCCAACTTGGGAGCCTTTAGCAAATCTACACGCTTGCACTCACCTTATTGATGAATTTTGGAAAAGTCGAAATCCTAATTATTTAGGAACACATGCAGTGAAAGATGTAAGTTTAATAATTGTTTGTATTATTCATTAAAGTATATTTTACACCCAAATGTTACTTCAACTTTAATATATATTCCATATACTTCCAATACGATGATAATGCAAGTAACATAACTTGAATAAAAATAATGAACAATTTGAATAGTATCACAAGATGATTTATAAAATTGATGATGCCAAGTAACAATATTTTTAAAGTTTTTTACATAACAAAAAAACTTACTGCGTTAGGTTACAGATTCTATAATTTTTTAAATAATTTGTTTATATGGTTTCTGTAGTTAATTGCTTTTAAAAGTGATCTGGACAAGAAAGTTTGATGAGTGACATATGTGATAACCATTCCAGAGGGTTTTTTTTCGTTAATATATTTATATATGATTCACATAGTTGTATAGAGCTTAAAAAAACTTAAAAATGAGGGGTCTAATAACTTTAGAAGTTAATTGGATTTAAAGTTATTGCATTTTTTTTTGCTGGAATAACTGATAATTTTTTGAAAAAATGCCTTGTCCCCTGAGTATGGAAAATTTTGTGTGAAATGGCAACAAAATAAAATAAAAAAACATTAAAAATCAAACGCAAAAATCAAAACAAACAATAAGCAAAGAAATAAAAACACTATATACATAATTTCTAAACCAAGTTCCTTAGTACCATTTTTTTAAGAAAACATAAATACTTGTTTTAAACTGAGGAAAGGCTATAATTGTCGTTTCCACATGGACTCAAAAAACACTGTTTTTTCTACATAAATTAACCTTGAAGGTTAATTTGTGTAGAAAAAACGTTTGAATGTTTAAAAGAGTCCACATTCCATTAGATTCCTCATCCTTTTTTAAATAAACATGGAAAGTTTTATACAAATTAGATGTATTTTGGTGCTTAGAAAATCTTTCCTTCAAAAACTACTTTTGAAAAAATCTGTCCACAGCAAGTTTTTAACATTAAAATACCTTTAACTTATAAATAGTTATTAAAAGTCAAAAATACGACAAAATTCTTAAAAAAAAAAAAAAAAAAAAAAACAGGTTTTCATGTATATATATATATATATATATATATATATATATATATATATATATATATATATATATATATATATATATATATATATACATGAAAATCATGTATATATATATATATATATATATATATATATATATATATATATATATATATATATATATATATGTATATATATATATATATATATATATATGTGTGTATATATATATAAACAAACATAAATACATACATACAAACTTACAGGCCTTGCTCGAAGCGAAAGCATTAACTCTTACTTTTGCTCACTCTCCCCTCAAGAGAGGTTTGCAGCAAAATAATAGTTGTGAATATAAATCACTTTTTTTTTCTATTTTTCGATATTGATTAGAATAATGAAAAGTTATGGTGCAAACTATGTTGTATAAAAAAGTCAAAGTACACATTTAATACTTTATTTGCTTACATGTTTTTGTTTGCACGTTAGTTCGCTTGGGTATATATATATATATATATATATATATATATATATATATATATATATATATATATATATAAAACGCTAATATTCGGTAATTTTTCCGCAATATTTCTTTGGGCCGGATGGGGGTGGGGGATACCACTGCTGAAAATTTTTTCTTGGAATAGCTCCTGATATATACAGGGCTATTCTAGGAAAAAAATTTGGTTGGTGGCACCCCTCCCCTTCCCAAATAAATTTAGCGGAAAATTAGCATTTTTCGTGTAAAAAACAATATTTGCTTTAAAAAACGTCAAAAAAAAAGTCCTCAAATTTTAATTTGGCAGCGCCCAAATATGGTCAGCGTTGTTGATAGCAGTCTAATATAGCCCCTGATATATATATATATATATATATATATATATATATATATATATATATATATATATATATATATATATATATACACATTTTAGGGGCTTTTTTTAGAAAAAAAAAATAAAAATTGTTATTTAAACCTTTATCGAGCAAATATTTTTTGCAAAAGATCATCAAGTACAAAAAATAAAAATAAAAATTTTAATTTTTATTTTAAATTTGTTTATCTTTATTCCTTTATTTGCAATCAAAAAACTCTTTAAAACTGCACTGAATTTTAAAAAATTCTAAATGCACTGAAGTTAATCTTTTTGTTTCTTTTTGCAGCCATTGTATCGTAGGGTGTCCCAAAAAACAACATTTTTGAAAATAATCTGCTCTCACCCCCTTAATGTGTTCTATCTAATGCAAAAACACTAGGTTTAATTTTTTTTTTAATAAAAAAATATTTTAAGTGGTCCCTCAAGACCCTCGAGTATTTAATGGGTCCCTAATATTTTCGAAAAAAAAGTTTTTCAAAAATATGTCAATCTGGTACTCAAATGAAGCAAAATTATATAAAAATTTTAAAAATAATATTTATTTTGAAACAAAATTGTTATTTTTGGTTTTATTACATAAAAATTTTTTTATTTTTTAAGAAAAAATGAAAAAAATGCATTTCTAATGTTTTTTTATAATAATTTTGATAAGTAAGTTAAAAATATTTCAAAAATTTTCTATTGGGCAGGCAGTATTTGTCTCTTTATTATTATTATTATTTTTTATTTTTTTATTAATTTAATGCAATGTTCTTTTCTCTTTTAACTAATCATGTACCTATGATGGTACAGTGTCCTTGTTTCATGTACCTATGATGGTACAGTGTCCTTGTTCCATGTACCTATGATGGTACAGTGTCCTTTTTTTAGGTCATGTTACATTTTAATGTAGTCAATATTTATTGGATTTTATTTAAATGTTTATATATGGTTTAGAACTTTCAATACAATTTATTTGTAAGAAATAGTTTATTTATTGTCATTAATGTAAATTATTCAGATATTTAGCTCATTAATTTAGTACACCTTGGGGTTTTTTTTAGTAAAAACTCATCAAACTTGAAGCTAAGAAAAAGAAATTCCTTCTAATTGACACAATTTTTATTTTTCATATCAGTTTCACATTTATTAACAACCTATTAAGGGAATTAAAAAAAAAGTGGACCTAAGTACTTGATCCACCCTACTCAGTTTTCTTTTTAACTGGTTAGTGCAAAAATTTAATATTCTAAATACAAAATTAGGTTCAAGTTTGTTTCAGTAGTGTGGAAATTAGGCTTTTCTTAGTCTAATAGAAATCTTATTCATGTTTATTTCAATAGTAAAAGAAATCAATTTAATATTTGTTTCAGTTGAATTAAAAAGCAGATTAAGGCTCCTCTAGTGATGTTAAAAATCATGTTTAACCAAGTTTTAAGGAAAGAATGAAACATGTCTTGTTTAACACATTTTTTACTTGTTGTTTAAAACAAGTTTCTAATTATATTTGATTGTTCTAATTGTAGAGAAATATTTTTTAATATTGTTATTTTACATTGAAAGCAGGAGCTTCCAGGATCTAAGCAAATATCCATCATAACCTTGGAAAATGGTATTCAGAATTATGAAATGGGAGTTGATTTACCAATTCCAATTAAAATTGCAAAAGTAAGTAGTTTAAAACAAGTTTTAATTTTTCAATGAATATATTATAAATATATATATATTAATAAATTATATTCTAAAAGAATGTGTATGTATGTAAGGTAAATGTGTAAGTTTAATATAATATATGTAATGATAAGTTATACAAATGTATGTAATAGTAAATTAATAAATGTAAAAATTTCCTTTAAACTCTTATGTTCTATAAGTTTGTAATGATCGTGCATCTAATAAAGTTCATGCTTCTAAAACTGCTTCTAAATTTTTACTTATATATTTTTATTATTTTAAATAATTTAGAATTTATCAAAAAAAAGTTCCATTCACAAGCATCCTATAAAGCATATCTCAAAAATTGTTACGAAAAAAGATACCAAAAAGTCATCTAGCTATAAAATGAAGCTTAGAATGCCTCAAGTTTCAACAAAAGAAATTGATATAAACTCTGTAGGAGATTGTTCTTATACAAAAGAGTCCAATAATCTTGTTAGTCCAAGTACAGTGATACCTAACAACTTGTTAATGCCTAGTGAGTTACAAAGTATAGCTCAAAACCTTGCTTCTAAAAGTAAAAGTTCAACTCCTAATGAAAAAGACCTAAATCATCACTTACTTTCGAATCAAGTTTTATTACCAAATGATATGCATTTGTTAAAAGGATTGAAATTAATGGAAAACAATGAAGCAACTTCAATAAAAAAATTAGAAAATTGCTTTGCATCACCAAGTTCTGCATTTGTTGCGGTAAGTATGTCATCTACTTCTAGTAGAAATGGTTCTGAAGCTTCAACAATGTGTGAATCAGAGGGGTTTAAATGTTGCAATTCAGAATTGCATAATAAATTTATACAGGTAGTTCCTAATTTACTTAAATATAAAATATTCTGCTTCTGCTTCTATTATAAAACTATAATTTTTGATAATAATTTTATAATATAATATTTTTTTATAGCTTTATATAATACATTTCTAAAATATTACATTTTTTTGTCATAATAAGGATGAAGAAAATTGCAAGAAAGTGATTAATTGTCAAGAAAGTAATAGAGTTTCAACTGTAACAGGTAATCATTATATATATATATATATATATATATATATATATATATATATATATATATATATATATATATATATATATATATATATATATATATATATATATATTTATATATATATATATATATATATATTTATATATATATATACATATATATATTTATATATTTATATATATACATATGTATATATATATATATATATATATATATATATATATATATATATATTTATATATATACATATGTATATATATGTATATATATATACATATGTATATATATATACATATATACATATGTATATATATATATTCAACTGTACATATATACATATGTATATATATATTCAACTGAATATATATATACATATGTATATATATGTTCAACCCTAATAGGTAATCATTATATATATATATATATATATAATATATATATATATAATATATATATATATATATATATATATATATATATATATATATATATATATATATATATATGTATATATATATATATGTTTATATATTTATATATATGCATATGTATATATATATATATACATATGTATATATATATACATATATACATATGTATATATATATATATATGTATATATACATATGTATATATATATATATATATATATATATATATATATATATATATATATATATATATATATATGTATATATATATATATATATATATGTATATATGTATATATATATACATATGTATATATATACATATATATATATATATATATATATATATATATATATATATATATATATATATATATATATATATGCATAAGTATATATATACATATATAAATGTATATATATATATATATATAAATATATATATATATATATATATATATATATATATATATATATATATATATATATATATATATATATATATATATATATATGTATATATATATATATATATATATATATATATTTATGTATGTATATGTGTATGTAAATATAGATATGTTTGCATATATATATATATATATATATATATATATATATATATATATATATATATATATATATATATATATATATACTTCATTTACTTTTTTTGTGATAGTAGCTTTGACTGATCAAAATTCTCAGTTGATGTATGTAGATTTCATAGTACCTGGCTTATTTTACAGTAAATACTGACCATTATATAAATTTACAATGTATAAAATTGACTGGTTCATAATAATTTAAGTTTTGCAATTTGGATATTAATTACTGCCTGGCAGTTAACAAACAACTGGGCTTGAAATTTGAGTGGGGCCAGGGCCCTGTTAGATAAAATATAGCAGGGGCAGGGTTTGTGACCGGGGCTGCATAAACATTTATACATCCTAAAGTATATTTTTTTATTTCAAAAAACATGTTGTCAAAAATCAAACATTTTGTATTTATTTGCATATATAAACATCATCATGATCAATATAATCGTCATTAACATCATCAAAATCATCATCATCATTATCATCATCATCATCATCATCATTATCATCATTAAGATTTAACCTTCCTCTTTTATGCTGCTTCTCTAATATAAACAATCTGGAGCATCTTCTTTCCTTAACTAAATTCATACAGTATGTAATGCACTTTCTTCAAGTGTTCTTACCACTACCATCTTCTCTTAAAGTTGCTACCTCTAAATGCTGAATACCTAAATCAGTTTTATCTTTTTTTTTTCTTATATCTAAGATTATGTCTTATTTTCTTGTCTTGTTAAAGTCATACCACACATCCATTCTAATCATTCATTCTGATCATTTTGGTAAATACTAAACCATATAAATACTAAAATTTATATAAATTTGTAAGTATATTGTATGTCAGCAATAAATGAATAGTAAACATAAATTTTTATATCCATGAATATCCATATTATGTATGCATAAATGCAGATTTTGCAAGCTTTTATTTCTGCTGGAATAAAAGTTTGAACTTTGATTCTTTCTCATCAATTTTAATTCAAGCCTCATTCTACTCCCCATTTTTAAATTTTTCATTTTTCACCATCTTGAGCATCTTTATTAAACTGTAGCCATTTTTTTATATCTTTTTTTACCAGAAGATCTCTCTAAAGAACAAATGTTCTTTTATTATTCCAAAAAGCTAATATAAAAGGACCTGTGTATATTTAGCTTTGTTATTCTCAGTTTACTGAATCTTGTATCTTATCTCAGATGTTAGGTGCTATAGACTTTTGGAACGTCTTTAACAGTGTTTCAGGCTAATGTAAGTCTAACATTTATTCTCTAACTCGTGGGTCTAATCTTTTTACTTCTCCCAAGACAAGGGCCTATTTGGAACTTTTCCTCTGACTTGACTTTTGTATCAAATGGCCATATTTTTCTTTTTCCACATTAATTACTCTAAACTTAATAGTTGTTGCTTGCAACCTTTTTGGAAGTAAATAAGTTTTTAAATTATATAAATATATCCCAGTATTTAATAAATAGAAAGCATAAATTTATAACATATAAAATTATAAGTTTTTTTTCTAGCCCAGGCTATCAACCCCTACTATATCTTAAAGTTTTTCTGGGGCCGGGTTTTTTAAAAACTCTCATTTTCAGCCAGGGCCCGGGTTGGGCCACTTACTAATAGCAGTGGATAAACTGTGATCCAACTTAAAAGTTTTATAAAAAGGTTCGTAATGAGATGCTTAATAAAAAAGCCTCGTTTTTTAAAGCCTCTAACTCACTTGTTTTAATACTCATCAAGCAGTTGAAACATTGACGTTTTCATCAAACCATTGATGTTTAAAGCATTGATATTAAATATAATATAAAATAATAAATTGCATTTTCGTTAAATTGAAAAAATAATTAAACTTTATTATTTTATTATTGTATATACTTCTCACATTTAAATGTTAAAAAAGTACAATTATTTCTCACATATAATCACATTTTGCCAATGTACGTGGTTGTTAACTTAAAATAATAGTTCACTAAGAAAATACTATAGAATATATAAAGTATTTAAAATTAGGTTAATTTTTGTTAACGTTAATATTTTAAATAATTTCAAAATTTCTATTATTTATAGTTTTTAAATTGTTTCTTTGTTTGTTTTCAAAGTCGAAATTTGTTTTTATATATTCTTTAGAAAAATGCTTTTACCCAAACTTTTCATTTTCAAAACAATCGTTTTCTGAAGCAAGTTCGGCTCATTCTGAGTCATTATCGCCTTCAAATAACTTTGAGACTGTTTTCAATGGTTGCCCAGGATCTGCATCTTCCTCTTCAATTAGTTTTGGCAGTCTACCAGGCAGTTCTTTAAATGAACCTGTCCAGAACTTTTTATCGGGCAGCCATGCTAGTTTTAGCGAGCATGGCAGTATTTTGAATGATGCAAAACAGTTTGACAGTTACGCTGAACATTTTAAATCTCCTAAATCATTTAAAAAAGTTGTGAAATGTCCTTTTTGTATAAATGTTGCCTATGTAGTGGATGATGAGGAAGGTTTGACCTCTTTCAATAACCATCTTACCAAAAAACATGCTTCAGAGGAAAATATATCCGGTCTAGAAGATTATGTCAAATGTCCTATGTGTGTAAAACACTATAAAAGTTTACGATCTTGTTATACGCATTTGAATTTCGCGCACGCTATTCCTGCAGTTGGAAGTTCTTTGCAATCAAGTGACGAAAATAAATGCAACAGCAACGAGCAATCAAATAAAAGTTGGAAAGTAGCACATAAAGAAACGGCAAGTTCAAAAGAACTTGAGCCTGTTCTATCTCTTGATCCTATTATTCCAATTAGCAACACATCTCGTGTTGACCTGATCACTCAAGACGTTTTACGAAAACCGTCTACTTCGTTGGGAAGTTTTCCGCCCACGAGTTCTTTACAACAATCCGTGCCTATCGACAGGAGAAAAAAGCCTTATCCAAAAAAGTGTCCTCATTGTAACTTAGTTGTTTCATGTAGGAAAGAACACTCAGAGCATTTGCGTATTTTTCATAAGAAAACTCCACTTATATCCAACGACACAATCAAGACCAAGAAAAGATTTTTTTGCAACATTTGCGGATTGCCACATTCCTCAAAGGCATCATTAAAGCGTCATAGTAGAATTAATCATGAAAACTCGTTTCCTTGCAGCTCATTAATTGAAGAAACGTTTAAGTGCCCTTTATGTCCTGAAGAACGAAGAACATATCATCATCTTTTGGTACATTTACAAACTAGACACTCAAAGTGGTCGCCCTTAAAAACTACAAAGAAACCCCGAAAAGAACTTAAGAGCAGCATGACAGCATTGCAACAACGCGCTATTAAAACCAAGTTGCGTTGTTGCAAATTATGTCGTAAACGTTTCACCAACAGATTTGCCCTTTCAAGACATTACGCGTTGTGCCATAAAAATATGTCCAAAAAATTTGAAAACCCGAAAAATTCTTTTCGAATTTTATCTAATAGACCTAAAGTGGAAAAGGTTAATAAATCCGATAAGTTTGTTTGCGATAAATGCCCAAGTGTTTTCACTGACAGAACTTCTTTTGTGTTTCACAAACGCAACCATAGGTCGGATTACAGTGAAATTGGTTTTGAATGTCTTATTTGTGGATGGAAAACTAAATGGAAGACTACTATTGCAAGTCACGTTCGAAATAATCATCCTGATGATGACGAAAAATCTTTCGTAAATTTAAAAGATAAAGAATGTACGCTAAACCTTACTTCAACCTAACATTTGTAAACAATATATTTGATTATAATGTCGTGCGTGAAATTAATAAAACTTTAGACTAAAGTGACAAATTGGTCAAACTAAAATACTTTAACCAATATCAAAACATTTCTTTCTTTTTAGGTTAAAATTTAAACCTTTTTTCTCTATTTGTATGTATACATTGAAAATATTAGTTGCGGTATGCAGAAGTTAAAGCAGGGAAAAATTTTACAACGTTAAAAATTTTTTTATTACCTCCACCATTATTTTACATCACTAGTAAAGGACAAAGAAGTGATTTTTTTGTCATTTTTCCTATAACCGAACGTACTTGCAATGCAAAATCTTAACCAGCAATGCAAAATCTTAACCAGCAATGCAAGCGCAAATTCATTAAGATATTGCATTATCATTGCATTATGAAAAAATAATATTTTTAACCCCCTTATTTCTTTCCTTGCAAAAACTTCTGCGGACGCTCAAGGTATCTAATTTAGGCATTTCTTAGCTAATGCAATTGAATATTTACGTCATTTTTATTTTTTCTTCATTTAGGTGTTGTGATTTTTTTTTGTTTGTATGTTTTTTGTTTTCAAATTGATTTTAAAATAATTTTAACGTATTTGATCAGTTTTATAGATTATTTTTACTGTATTGTATGACAACAAAATTTCACAAGTATGCCATTTGATTTAAAGTTTATCTCTGTTATAAAACTTTTCGTTTTAAAGTTTCTCACAGTAGGGACAGTTTACGTGTTTTATATTTATGTCCTATGTTAGTTTGTTTGATTTTTATATCTAATATTATCTGACAAGATTAAATGAATACACAAAAGAAAAGTTATGGTAAAAAGTTCTATAAGATAATGCGGAGCTTTACATCGAATTTAACTGAAAACCGAATTCGGATTCTAAAAACATTAATTGAAAATAAAAAATGTAATTAAAATAACGGAAGTACATTTTTGAATAATCATTTTTTATTAACTAAAACTATTATATTTTAGGTCATAATTAACCATATTTCAAAACATGACAAAACGTAAGTGAATTAAAGTGATTTTTAATTTATTAGAAAATATACGCTTACAAAAAACAACAATTTGCGTTGAAATAAAAATCTTAAAATGCAGTATTAATGAGAATTTAAGTTATGGAATCTTTAAAATTCCTAATATTTAACCTAATATGAACTAAAGAAAATAAACAATGTTCGTTAAGAGATTTCGAATGTCAATTTTATAAAGGAAAAAAATCGTGAGTATTATAATAAATATTCACTTGTTTTTTATCTTAAGGATTTTCTCAAAGCGATAAATAAGATTTAAGTGATGAATACACTTGGTGGTTAAATAATTTTTCGAACATTGACCCTGTAAGGCAAATCTGTTTCTAATATGTTTTGCTTTTTTACTGAACTCGTGTTTCCAAGATCGAGTGGGTCACTTAAGTCAAGAGACTACTCTTTATTTACTTTTTTTTATATAGTGATTACAACCCTCCCTCAACTCTTTAACTCCAAAACTTGACGAACAAGGTCGCTGCGCACAGAAATATGTTTAAATACTTTTTTAATTGAAAAAAATTATTAACTTTTGAATTTAACTGAAAGTTAAATGATATTTTGCAATTGTTACCGATTTTAGCTGAAAGCCGAATTTCTATTTGAAATTTGATACCGAATTTGAAATCGAAGTCAAATTTGGCTATCAGTAAACATTGTAATCCGAATTTTAAAGAATATTCGCCGGTCCTTACTTTAAGGAAGAAACTTTAGCTCTTAAACTGGCGCAAAATCAGCTTTTCAAAGATTAATTAAATGTAATATTTAACTAGTAGATAAAAAAATTTACAATGAGCAGTTTCAAAGAAATGATGGCGCAGATGTTTCGAAGAAAAGATGGCGCAAAAGTAATGTCATAATTTAATTAGTTGCCATTTCGTTATAAATAAGAAAAAGCGCTAGTTGAAAAAAGTTATATTTGCTGAAAAGGCCACCTTCCGAGTTGATGCAAAATTGCGCATGTTTTACGGCATTTTGAATTGTTGTTTTCTAAACATCTGGTGAGCCAGATGTTTAGCAAGCAACAATTCATCTTTCCATTTAGGTAAAACGCATTATGGTTTTTTATAAGCTTTTTTAACAATGAAGCTGGAGGAGTATTGTTTCTACGGTTTATAACTGTACCAAAATTTGATACTGTAAGTTTTTTTATTTTGTTCTTCAACCCATTTTTGTTTTTGTATTGATCTTTGTTTTTTCTCAATATTGATTAACATTATGGCATACTTTAATTTTCCTCAGTCAAATTAGTTTTAATTAAAAGGTCCAGACAATGTAGAAACTTTTCCATTATAACTAGTCTTAAATTTTTCATTTATTTATTAGTAAATATTTAACAAAAATTACTTTGTCCAAATTTAATTTCAATAATTAACCATCAATTGTCATTCCTTGGTTTAATTCTGTATAATAAAATATTAAGTTTAACTCTAATCTATTTTACATAATTCTCTTTGAGTAACTGATAACCAGCTGTTTTATGTTTAGCAGCTCTTCTTTCAAAATATCGTCTGTTACTATATAAGTAAATATATGTTGATGTGTTATCGGAAACAGAGAAGTTGTTTTCATCACTATTTTGTTTTCATCACTATTAAATTCCTAGCTTGTAATTTTACAAAATGTTGCATTTAGTGGAATCATGCTAGAGCTTTTAAAAAAAGCTAAAACCAGCAGAAATATTTATAGAGTTAACTGTATATTTTTTTACTTATGCATACTTGTAAAATATACTTCAAACAAGATTCTCTAACGAAATTTAAATACAACTACGTTGAAATATTTGTTTATATAACAATGCAGTTTATTCTCCTGCGGAAATAGTAAGATTTCTAAAAGATTTTGGCGTAAATATAGTTAATTATAAGAGAGAAAACTATTATCCACGTACGATCGAGCCACGAAATAATGAAAAATTAAAAAAACTATGAATTGCAAGTTTTTGATTTTTCTGTACATTCAAATACCATAATGGATTGCGTTAAATAATATTAACGTTATTAATTTGGTGAAAGGTGAATTGGTGATTTCTTTAATCTTAGCTTTTTAGTTTTGGTAAAGATTTTGAGTTTGATTAAAGATTTTAAAAAGCCCCATAGGAAAGAGTTTGGTTCTATTAGATCCGGCGATTTGGACAGCTAGTTCAAATCTCCAAAACGAATGATCACTCTACCTGGAAATTTGTGTCTTAAAATTTCCATAGAGACCCAAGCTGTGTAAGCGGTTGCTCCGTCCTGTTAAAACCAACAAAAATCAAGATCCTATTTAGCAACTTACGGCAAAAAATTGTTTACCATCTGCCTGCAACTCTTGCCATTTAGGGTAACATCGCAGTCTTCAAAAACATAAGAATCAATACCCTTTTCACTGCAAATACCACACCGTGACATTTTGTCACATTTTGAGTTACATTTTGTTTGGTAAAATAACCACTTAAGTCGAAATTGGCTTAACCGCTTATTATAATTTTTGGTACGAAGCCATCCTCTTTTTGTACCAAGTTCAACAGACTTTGGAAGTAAGTTAGCCTCTTTCCAACGGTCAGCAGGCAGTTATTGAACAGTTTGTACTTTGTAGGAAAACATTTTCAAATCTTTTACCAAAATCATTTGCAAAAAATATCTGCTGATGCCGAATTACGTGCATTGTTGTCTCGTTGATGTTTGTGAATTTTTTCTGAGGTTGTTGGCAACAACAACCCGGACACTTTTTTCGACATTATTAATAGAGCTAGTTTGCACGAAGTGCTTGATCACACTGTTAGGGAAAATGATTACGAATAAACGATAGTTCAAATTATATGGTATGACATATTTCGCCAATCGATATATGTCAATTTTTACTATGCAAAAATACAATTAATGCTCACAATTGATAAATGAATTATTGAATGAATTATTAATGTATTAGCATCAACAGAGTTAATTAAGATTTATTTTATTATTTGGAATCAAATAGTTAAACTGCTTAGTTAATTTTTAAGTTATCATTTTCAAACAGTAAAATTTTGACAAAACTATAATGCAACAAAATACTCAAAAATTAATTTTTTTATCGTTATTATTTAATACAGATTCTTCTGTTTTAGATGATATATTTAATCTTTGTAAAAATGTTTTTTATTTTTTTAAATTCATAATCAATTCATTATGAATTATATTAAGGTTGTAAATGTTGGTACATAAACTGATGGTAATTAATTAAACAGATTAAAAAGTAGTAGTAGTTCAGTTGTTTTATTAATCTATCAGGCAGCATAAATTTCTCAATTGTATAATGTTTCATGATTACTAAAAAGTCTTATGATTTTTTGTGTTTATGTATAACAAATGTATTGCATAATAACTACATAACATGGTTTCCGTAGACTGTTTATCATGGCACGATCATATATATCATGGTACGATATCAAAAAAGTTAACCTGACAAATTGTTGGGCGCAACTAATTCCAACATTAAAAAAAAATACTTAAACAAAACCTACTAGTATCAGAGCAGACACCGTCAAAAGAATAGCATTCATTAAGATTTGTAAAACTTTCATTAATATACATATGATTATGTAATAGTACTCTACGTTGAACCATGTATTGGGCAA